GTGATTAAATTTGTAGACTACCATCTATTTTGAAGTTCTTGAAGATGGATTTTGATTATAGTTCCAATTATATCTTGTTTGTTGATTCTTTTGTTCCAGTTATTGGCTTGCATCAGGAGTTGTCTGTTCTATATGTGAAAGAATCCATATTCCAATAGGTTGAAAAGAATGGAGTTGGATGTTGTTGCAGCCAGATTGAGTTTGTGTTTGTAAGTTTTGTTGAGGATTCCCATGATTTTGTTATTTTGTTGTTCTGTAATGATAGTGTTTGAGAGGAGGTATAAAATCATTGGTGTTCATACTTGATTGTGTAAGTATCTAATTTGTTTGTCTATTATTGTTTTTCATCTTATTGTTTTAGCATATTGGATTGTTCTTAATTAGTTGTTGTTGGTATGCCTTGATATTCTTCCCTTTCATATAAATCCCTAAGATTCTTGCTGCTTGGTTGGATTTGAGAATTATAATTTGTTGACTTTGGACTGTAATTTGCGATTTGTTGTGTGGTTTGGGATTGAGAATAACTAGATTAAATTTACTTCCATTGATATTTATATCATTGAGGTTGAAGAATTCTGTACATATATTACAGATGTTTTGAAGTTTTTCTTTGTTGTCTGCAATGAGAGTTGTGTTATCTATAAATGCCAAGTATGAGATGTCTTGTGATAAGGTAGAAGGTGTTGTCATGGGGTTTGTTTAGACTTGTCCCTTGAGGGTATATCCTTTTGTTTCTTTGGCTATATTTGTGAGGAGAGAGTCATAATATATTCTCCAGAGTAATGGGGAAATTGTATCTCCTTAATCTATTCCATCTTCAACTTTATATTGTGATGATGGGTCAAAGGATATAATAACTTGATTTTATCAATTGTTACAAATATTTGTAATAAGTTGGTAGATTTTTGTTAAACATTTAATTCTTTTCATTGTGAGTTCTAAGCATTGTGTACTTATGGAATCGAAAACTTTTGCCATATCCAGGCTGAGGATCCATGTTTCTTTTTTATTTTGTTTTGTATCATCTTGAATCGTTCTGAAAATTTGTATAGGTTCTTGTATACTGCAACCTGGAAGGGCTGCCTAGTTGTGTAGTGAGAGTATTTGGTAATATTGGAATGTCTTTGCTAATCTGTTTGTGATAAGTTTTGTGAAGGTTTTTCTTGTTGTTTCTAGAAGTGTTATTGGTCTTGTTATATTGATGTTATTTTCTCAAGGTTTGGGTTTCGGGATAGGGTAGATGTTACTTGTTTTCTATTCTTTGGGGACTGTGCCTTGAGTTAAGATATTGTTGAAAAGTCTATGAGAAAGTGAAGTGATTCTTTGGTTAGTTTTTTGAGTGTAATGTATGGTATCCCTGTTGGCCCTGGTGCTGTTTTTGTTGATTATGTTTTAAGTATACTTTGGACTTCTTCTATTGTAATAGGGATGATTGTATTTGCATACCACTCTATCTGGATGTATTGTTTTGGCTTGTATTCTTTTTCCTATCTAGTGTTGTTGATTTTCTTGATGTTACGTTTGCTGGTTCACTTGCAAAAGAATATACTAACTGTTTGCTTGATTTCATTTGGATCTGTAATGATGACTTTATTTGGATAATTGGTAATGATTTTGTCCAATGTTATGTGTTTTTTTGAATCATCTAACAGATTCCTGATCATTTGTTTTTTGTTTGAGCTAAAGTATGTCTGTCTTTATTGGATTTTTTCTTTAATCGATTCTGTTTGTTTATTCTTGTAAACTTTATTTAGGATTTGTTTTTGTATGTACTTTATTGTTTTGAGGTTTTTGATCCATGCCATAACATTTGTTATATTGTATGGTTTGGTTGGAGTGTCGACTGTAAATGCATATTTGTTGTTGAGTTTTTTTATGATTTTATTGATTTTTTCCTCAATTTCAGATTCCATCGATTTGTTTTGATTTAACTGATGCCCAAGGGCCTACAGTTTGAATAATAAATGTTGAGGGTTTTGATAATTTGATGATCTTCTTTTTTCTCTATATTTTTTGATGTGTTTGGCTGCCACTTATAGGATCGCATCTCTAAAGAGGTTCCATTTTCTTTCTATATTTCCTTCTGTGTTTGTTATTTCTGGCCATGTATTTTATAGTTGTGAGTTGATGCTATCATTAAAGTCTTTCCATTTTTCAGGAGTTGTGTACTGCTATAGAAATCAGTTGTTTGGTTGTAATCTAATTCTGCTTGTTGTTTTGGCATCTATGTTTCAGTGTTGAATGGTACATTGTATTGCTTTGTGATCTGTTTCAAAGGTTTCTTCATTTTGTTCTTAAATAGTAGCATTCGTAAGAAGCCAGAGTGGTGATGTGAAGATTCAAATCTAATCTATTCAGCTTGTAATTTTTTCAGAGTTGCTCCATATGTATTGCATACTGTATGGATTAAGGTCATGAAAGGTGTTTGTGAATTGATTGGTAAAAAGTCATTTGATTAACTGGCCTATAGATTGGTGTTGTTTTTTTTTGGAAAATTTTGAGTTCGATATGTCAATACTGGGATCTGCAATGGAGTTGAAATCTCCTAGGATGATAATATAACTGTTTATCATTTTTGCTTGATTAATAAGTTTGATTATTTCATTGGTACATTCTTGATGAACTTGATGTTTTATTGATGGGAGGTAAATTGCTATGATTCTGAGTTTGCACTTTTGTTTGAAAAGGAGGTTAACTGAGATGATTCTGTCTTGCCATATGTATTTTTTGTGGATATGGCGTGCTAGATTTTGTTTAATTAGCAATGCTACCCCAAATCCTTTGGTTTATATACTTGGTTCACTCCATATTGTTTGATAGTTAGGAATTTGTATGAATTTTCCTTCTTTATTACTGAGGTTTGTTTTTGTTAGTGCTACAATGTCAGCATTTTCTTTGGTGATCTGGTCTATCCATATCTGAAGTTTTCCTGGATCTGCTTTGAGTCCTCTGGTATTTGTTATATTGATACATATACATGTGGTAGAAATAGGTAGATCCTTGACGCAATTGACGCAATTATTTGATGCAATTAATTGAGTCACTATTAAAACATATAAAATAATTGAGTCAGACGCAATTATTTTTGAGAATTTTGACAATTAAGTCAACAGCAAAATAATTTACACCACATGTATATTGATACACTATTTTTTGTCTGTGTTGATGTTTGTTGATATATGTTTGGTTTGAGAAATTGAAGTGTTTTTTGTTGTGATTGATGTGTTTGGGATATGTGATATTGATTGGATTGTTGTGTCTTCCTGACTACTGGTTGAGTTTGTATCTGACCATGTAAGTTGATTTTCTATTTGTTGGAAGAGAATATTTAAGTGGTTATTGATTTGTATTGCTGTTGGGGAAAAGTTGTCTTGTTCGTTGTTATGGCTATTATTGTTTCCTATTTTTATTGTATGGTTGTTTGGTTGTGTTCTATGTTCTTTGTCATGGTGTCAATTGTTAAGACTAGTCTATTGATGCTGTTTTGAATTCCATCTACTGATACGAAAAGATTGATTTGTTGATTTCTAATTTCCTCAATGGTTCTTTCTTGTGATTGTTATTGTGAATTGCTATCTTCTTGACTATTGTTGCTATTATTCAGGGTGTTTGATCGGTTTGTCTCCATTGTTTCATAGTATTCTTCATTGTAGTATTCTAAGTTTATAATTCTTTCATTGATTTCTAAGATTTTTCCTTGGAGTTTTACTAATTGTTATTGGATTTGTTGCAGCATCTTGGCAATTTCACTGAGTGATAGGTTTGGATTGATAGTTTTTTGGTTTTTAACTACATTGGCGAAGAAGCCAAATTTTTGATTGTTAGTTGGTTTGGAATTATTAATATTTCAAATTTTGATTGTCTTTGCTGGTTTGAATTTGTTATATAGGGGCTCAAATTAGATTGCTTGTTCTTTATAGTAGTTGTTTCATTGTTGATATCTGATTTTGAATAAGCAGTCTTTGGCAAGGTGTATGTTTGAATTACAGACTGCACATAGTTTGGTGTTAATTGATATAAAATAAATTTCTGTTTTTTCAAGGATATATTGATCTTGTACTGCTCTAAGTAAGTCATCTTTGTTGGTGAAGCTAATGACTACAAATCTTTTCCGTTTGTATGCTAGTCCTGCTGTTCTGGAGATATAGCATATGAGCCCCCTGCTTTGCATGAAAATGTTTTTCAAATCCCATGCTATTGTATTGGATGGCAGGTTTATTAATTTGGCTGCAATTTCATATCTATTCTTCATTTGGGAAAGTGTCCACAGTGCATCATTGATTCTTACTGAATCTCCTTTAATTAGTATACTTCTTTATTTCATTAATTTGTTTTTGGTTAATTCATTTTTGAAGGTAATTGTAGCACTTTGCCATAAGTTTTGTGTTTTTATTGTGATTCCTGTGATTGCTCCAAATTTGGCAAAAGCTTGTTTTACTTTAATGATTTTTGTGTTTAGGGATATATTTCAAACCACGATGGATTTGTCTTTTTCGATTTGTTGACTTGTCAATTGCATGTATTGGAGGGATTTGTTGTCTGCATTTGGTAATTTGATAGTAGTTGCTTGTTCTGCTGCCTGTTGGTCATCAAAAATGGCTACAATCTGCATTTCTTTGTTTTTCCCTTCACTATAGACTGAAAGCAATCCTTCGGGAGAGTTGAGTGCTAGAATAACTTGTTTAATCTTTTGGTATGTTGTTTTTCCTGTGAGTTCGTCTGCTGTGATTCCTATCTTATATCTTTCTTTACTATACCTGACTGTTCTATCGAAGAGGGAAAAGGGTCTTGGTTTGCTTATTTCTATAGAGTTTACTTGTCAGCTTTTCCCTTTGAACATGGTGAACCATGGTTGATCTTGTTCAGTTTTACTTTTGCTTTTCATCTCTATGTTTATGTCATCGATTCTGATGGTTTTGTTCTTTGTTTTCAGGAAATTTTTCTGATCTTGGGGATTGATATGACTGCTGTTGGTTTCCAAGTCTATCTGGTTGTTTTGCTCACTTGCTACCTATTCGTTCCAACTTTGTTTGAGTGAAGGATTCTGTTGTGTTTCTGTCTGACTGGATTTCCTTGTCTAATGGATAGATGAAGCTTCTTGGTCTAGGACTGTTAGAGTTCAGAGCTGTTTAGTGTTGTTTTGAGTTGTGAAAGGTTGTGGTTGTTTTGTTAGGATGCTGGGTTTCTTTGCATATGGTTAAGTTCTAAGTGGGGTTACTTCCTTGGCTATTCTTCTTTTGTACCTAAGTGTTCTGTCTGTTTGTTTGCTAGGAACTTTACTGTTCCCTGGGTTGCTTGTTATCTTTCTTGTTCAGGTTGGTTGCTGTGTCACACGTGAATAGGAAAGAGTTTTTTGTTCTTTAAAGTAATGTATAAAAATAAGAAATAGTATTTATCTACTTTAAAATAATAATAATAATAATAATTTATTGAAATTATAATTATATTTATATTTTTTATAAAAAATATCAAGTAAAATTCTTTTATTTACAATGCTTGAATCTCATCAAATAGGTTGCCTTTTTTAGAAATTACAGCATATTGAATTTCTAAAGATTGAAAATTAAAAATTTGCTTTTTGATTTTATTAAACTTGAAGAATCACATTCAGGTGATAATATTACTAAAGATTTTTTAAAAAAGTCTTAATAAATATAATCTTTTAAATAAAGTAAGTTATATTTTATATTTAAATAAACAAATATATTTACTTATTAAGTTTTTAAATAAATTTCTAGTATAACAACTAATAATGTAATCAATAATATAATATTTCTTAAAACTATTAATAAAAACATTAAAAAATATATATTAAATTTAATATTAACAATTAATATATATAATATCTTGTATATATTATTAATATTATAGTTCAAAAAATATTATAAACTTTATACTAGTCAAAATTGGATTATTTGACAATATACTACTTATCAATTATTTAGCATATAATAAACAATTTATAAACAATTACCGTATATGACCGAAAATAAGCAACCCCCGAAAATAAGAAACATTTGTTTTTAGTCCCAAAACACAATAAATC